TGAGCAGTGGTGCCGGCCTTGGCCCGTGGGCTCGGTGGGTTGGGGCGTTGACCCGCACGCCACACGGTCGAGGGTTCAAGACCCAGTCGTTCACGTGACTAGAAGTGGTTTAGACGTCCCCACTGGAGGTTCAGCATCCTAGCCGCAGAAAGCCGACAGACACGGGGTGACCGACAGACAGCCGTGGTGACGGCGGGAATCCTTTGTAGTATTCTCACAACGTTTCTGGAGGTTCAAACGTACGACCAAGTGAAAAGTTAAAGAAGAAAAAAAACAAGGAAAAGGAGCTTCACCTTCCCCACTGGTTTCCCCGAAGGCCCGGCCGTGGAGCCCGGAGCGCGGAGCCAGGCAGCTGGGAGGGGCCAGCCACTTCCCAGAACTGGACCCGGAGCTCGGCCTGGCTCCTGGGCTATTTTTAACTCGGGCTGTGAGCGCGTGGCTGTGCCTTCCTTTCTCACTCCCAGTAGCACTGGGAGCACCTGACCCAAGGCTGACCACGCTGGGCACTGCCTGGCGTGATGGGCACAGCTGGTCCATAAAGCCCGGACGTTTATGCGGCTGGTACCTGGATTTCCTGCCACAAATGACATAAACCCAGAAACGGAGAGACCAACTGATTACAGGTCCAGCTAAAGCGTCGTTGCCAGGACGTGGGAGCCTCGTCCACAGAGCGCTGGGACCCCCACGCTGCCGGGGGTCTCGCTTTGTTCCTCAGGCAGGTTCCTTGCGGGCCCCGGAGGAAAGACAAGCGTATCTCTGATTGGCAGGAGGCCGGGAGGATGAACGGGAGGTTACCTGATAGAACTTGGAGGCTCTTCCTCTTTCACAGAATGGACGTGGCAGGAGTCCCAGCAGAGCCCATCGTCTTGGAACGAGATGAGCCACTTACTTTATTTCCCGTATCTGTCACTTCTGAAAGTAAAAGGAAGTGCTCAACCATTGCTCCAGGTTAACGGTCGTACACGAGCTCACCCACCCTTCGCCAGAGCCCGACGACAGAGAGAACCGGGTCAGCGAGGGGCAGGTGGGGGAGGAGGGGCTGGGAGCCTGCCGCTGACATCCTCCCTCCCTTGGTCTTTCCTCCCGTGGCCGAGTCGTCTGCAGAGTCCTTGACTTAGAAGCTTATTCAAAGCCAAAGCCAGGTGGCTGGAGGGTCAGGTTCTGCTTCAGATACAAAAGCACCAGCCACCTAGCGTGCAGGGGCTCTGTTGGTCTCAGCCTACCATCTCCACCACACACACACACACACACACACACACACACACCGGCCTCTCCTCCTCAGCAAGATCCCTGAACTTCTGATTGTACAGTCAGGACCAGTGCAAAGACTTCCTGTCCCTGGGACCAGGGAGTCTGCCCGTCGGTTCCCTCCAACCCAGAAATACACCCGAGTCTGAGGGCCGACACCAGCACCCGTCCTTGGAACCACCTAAGACACCGGCGGTGGGTCTCGCTCTCGAAGCAGCGGCGTTTCTGACCATGACTAAGGATCACTCTGGCGCATGGAGCCAGCTTCCCAGACTTCAAGGTTGACACTGCCACTTACAAACCCTGCCCAAGCCTGGCTGGAGTGGCTGTGGCTGAGCATCGACCTATGAACCAAGAGGTCCCTGATTCAATTCCCAGTCAGGGCACAGGCCCAGGTTGCCAGCTCGATCCCCAGTGTGGGGCATGCAGGAGGCAGCCGATCAATGATTCTCTCATCATTGATGTTTCTCTCTCTCTCTCTACCCCTCCCTCCCTTCATCTCTGAAATCAATAAAAATACATTTTTGGGGGGAAAAAACCTGCACAAGTCACTTCACTCCCCACACCCGTTCCCTCTGCATGACCAGCAATGACATCACTCTCAGGACCGGCGAGATGGCTCACAGAGGGCGTCACCGGGGCCTGGCCTGCAGCAAGCACTGGTAATCTTATTACTGTCAGCTAACCCATCACAACTGGATTGAATTAGAAGGCAACTCACTCTTTTGAATTAACTGGAAATGAACCCACAAACCCACCGAGAATCGGTATCTCTCTAAGTCAGAGTCTTTGCCGTGAACGTTCCTCATGGTGTCTGTTCCGTCCTTAGGAAGGAAGATGGAAGGAGGGCGGCCGGGTCACCAAGTAGCCGGGGCTGCTTCCGTCAGGGCTGCTCCTCGGCTGTCCCCACAGTGACAGCTGGAGGTCCTCTGAATGGGCCCAGGAGCCAGGAAGGTGGCTTTCACTCGATCCAAGGGAACCAGAACAGATGTTAGAAACGGAACACCAGGGGCCCCGCTGTGTCTGTTCTCGGGGCCTCGCGCAGAAAGCCAGCACACCACAGGCCGCCATTCATAATATTTATTTTGGAAAAATATTTTAAAAAGGAATTTCTTCATTAACAAAACAGTAAAAAACTCAAATAACATTTGCACAATATTCCATAAATACATTTATATACAAAAAATATAGTCACATAGACCCGAAGTGCCTTTGTACATATTTACCAAAAATTTAAATTATAAAAAAATGAACATCACAAAATACTCAAGCTTTACAGATATCATGAAAAATATTTTTACAAGTCCAAAAAATAACACACATCTTTTCCCACCTAGAAAAAAAACAACACATTTTAGTATCAAAAAGGACGATAAAGGCAGTGTTTGTGGTTCTAATTCAAGAAAGACTGGCTCATAAGAATCCAAAATATACACTCCGGGCAGTGCATGCGTCTCATGTCGTCATTAATCCACTCATTTAAATATATATTTCTTAGAAGCAACTGTCCATAGTGCAATGGAGACGTCGCGAAAAGCAGAGTGCAACAGGCGTCCTGGAGCAGCCCGAGCCTGCAGCCCCCCGCTGGCTGACCTCTGGGGCCTCGTCCCACAGCCGTCGCGAAGGCCTCCTTTTCCCTCTCAGCAGCATCCGTTGGGGCATAGATCCTTGGAATTCTATGTAGTTTAAGAGAAACGGGAATTTTGCCATATCACCTCAATTTTACACCTAGAGGGGCCAACGAGACAGAACGGGAAGTTAGCTCGAAGTCCAGATTGGCAGTCCGTACGTGCCTTCAAGGGCCGTGCCCACACCCACCTCAGTGGCTATGACACACTCGTCCTTCTCCGATATGACGAACACCGACTGGTACTTGGAGTCTTTTGAAGTAGAGTACACAGAGTCCCGCCTTTTCCTTTCAGATGCATCCCTACTGAAAGGAAAATAAAACAGAACCACAGTAAGCATGTGCGGACAATTCTTTTTAAATCTATTGATTCCAGAGAGGAAGTGAGAATGGGAGAGATAGATAGAAACATCAATGATGAGAGAGAATCATGAATCGGCTCCTGCATGACCCACCCTGGGGATGGAGCCCACAACCCGGGCATGTGCCCTGACTGGGAATCAAACTGTGACCTCCTGGTTCATAGGTCGATGCTCAATCCACTGAGCCACACCGGCCAGGCAAACATGTTTGAACCAGAGCTCAGAGAACACCCTCGCCCAGCTTGGCTCAAAGCACGCCCAAGTGTCGGCGAGCCCTCCCCAGGTGGCCTCCCATACGACCCTCCTGACGCACAGCACTCACCCCCTGAGTGTCGGGGTGCTCTTCTCCTCCCCAGGAGAGCCCTGCAGCTGGCACTTGGCATCACGCTTGCTGTGGGGGTCCCTGGAGGCGGCATCCTCGCCCTTGGGCTCGGGCACCAGGTTATAGTCCACGCCGGGGTAGCGGGCCTTGGGGCCATTCTTGCCGCTGCCGTGGTCCCCGTGGAAGTCCACCTTCTTGTTGGTGTTCTTGATCTGCGTGGCCCCGATGATGCTGACGGACACGTCCTTCTCCCGCTGGCAGCTGGCCAGATTGTTCATGGTCTCCGTCTCCCCGTGGCAGGGGTCGGCCAGGGGCGGGCCCTTCTGCAGCCTCAGCCCCACCCAGACCC